TATAAAGAATGTCTTCGACCTACTTTAGTTACCTGATCTGTCATCTCTAGCTACACAATTTAGACCAAGTTGGTTGAAGAATTAAATAGGTGAATTGCCAATGAACTCGAACTCGGGTCATCCCTAACTACACAATGTAGACCAAGTTGGTTGAAAAATTAGACAGGTGAATTGTCAATGGACTCGAACTCGACTCACCTGTATTGTTGCAAAGAAGGGAATGTAAGAAAAGGAATGGGCTATTTGGCTCGAACAACTATATAGTGTTTCGATGGCTGATAGTGTTCGAACAGCGGGACAGCTTGAGAGAGGTGGACCCCATATTCTCAATGGGATTGGATTACACCACTTTGTAATGTACCTCAATAACTAACTAATATCTTGGTGTTATTGCGCCACAGCTGAACCTGCAAACGGTAAGTGGGTGGGTCCCACGGCTATGATACTGAAACGTTGAGAATAAATTCGCATTTACAATTTTCACAAACCGTCGTTCAAATCAAACCCCCCACTGAGCACCCACCCACCCACTGACTGTGCAGCAGTCTCTCACTCTCTGCGTGCGTACAGCTCAATCACACTCCTCATTTCTCCCTTTATCTGCTTATATGGTGCTCACTTCACATTTTTCCACCGCCTCTCTTCTTGAAATGTGGAAGCTTTGGTTCATCTGCACCTTAATTTCGCTTCTCATCTGCCTCTGCTCTTCCGTGGCTATAGTTGCTGCTGCTCAAGGATCAAGGACCCGACACAGTAAATGGCTGACACTTAGCGGTATAATTAACACCTGTTGATAAATGCTCTGTGTTTTCTGTGTAAGCGCAGCGCCTCAAAGTTGTTGTGGCGAGGCAGCGAGCTTTCTGACTTATCATTTTTGTCAGGTAAGCCACCTTTGGTCATAGCAAGAGGTGGGTTTTCGGGGGTTTTCCCGGATTCAAGTTCTTATGCGTATCAGCTGGCGGTGGAGACTGGCTTGCCCAATTTACACCTATGGTGCGACGTGCAGCTTACCAAAGACGGGCATGGTGTCTGCCTTCCAGATGTCAGGCTCGAAAATGCTTCGGACATCGACAGTGTGTACAGTGATAGGCGCAGTACTTATTCTGTGGATGGAGTCCCGCTTCAAGGATGGTTTTCCATGGATTTCACCTTAAACGACCTGCGACCCGTCAATCGTGAGTGACATTCCTTTTCGTGTGCGTTTTCTGTCTTGTGTTTTCCGATGGGTAATTTTGATCTCAACACGTGTGTTCAAACAAGCGCTAGTTACTGCCTTATTGGAGGGTTATCCGGGCTATAGACCGGAATAGCTGTAGGACATAGACGGCAGGAAAATGTCGATCGTCTGAATAGTTTGCCTTGTAGTGTCATTTGTAGTACATGAATTTTTCATGAGAAATTATCGATGTCTTTCCTCTCATATATACATATATAGTAAAGGACAAACTGAAACTTCAATGGACAAATGGGCAATTCAGCCCGCCGGGTGTGCTCTTATCGGCACAGCACGACATGACAACGACAAGTCCATGTATTTCTTTCTAGTTTCCAAAGCTAGTGGTTGTTTTATCACATCAAATGGCTCGGCCCAGTAAATTGATTGATGCTACTACTACATTCCTTAAACTTCTTTGTTAGTGCTACTGAAGTTTTTTCTTATGCTGGGTTATTTATTTATATTTTGCTTTTGCTGATATAAATAAATCTAAATAGTGTAAAGTAACTACATTTCATCCATTCTGATGGCAATTCATATTGGACAGTGAAGCAAAGGATATACACCCGAGCCCCGAATTTTGATGGTACTCCAATGGAAATTCTTACGCCCAATGATGTGATCAGTCTGGCAAAACCGCAAGGATTATGGTTAAGTGTTCCGGTAATATAAGTGAATTCCTTACTGATCTGTACCTCAGAAGTTCATCAGCTAGTCTTAGACGACTCCTAATCCTCGTTATTTCCATTGAAATACTCATGCAGCATGATGCATTTTTTAGCCAACATAATCTGAGCATGAGGAGCTACATTGTTTCGGTATCTAAACGCATGGTAGTCAATTATATTTCATCTCCTGAGGTGGGTTTCCTGAGAAGTATCACGTCGCGCTTCAGAACGAGCCCGACAAAGCTTATATTTCAATTTCTGGGGCCTGATGATATAGAGCCTACGACCAACCAAACATATAGCTTTCTTATAAAGAATTTCAAACTTATCAAAGAATTTGCAACAGGAATTCTTGTTCCAAAGAATTACATATATCCTGTAGACAACAGCCTCTATTTACAGAATTACTCGTCTCTTGTACTGGATGCACATAAAGCTGGCTTGGGAGTTTTTGCATCCAATTTCATGAATGATGCACCTTTACCGTATGATTACAGCTATGATCCCGTGTCCGAGTATCTATCTTTTGTTGACAACGGTCGATTTTCTGTTGATGGTGTGCTGTCTGACTTTCCAATAACACCATCTGCAGCCATAGGTAAATGTTGGTCTTTTATGAATTTTTTCTTATATGTTGTGAAAATGAATTTGCACTAAGAGGCTCTTGAAATGCCCAGACTGTGCGGCTTTATATTCCTTTCCCTCTTAGAGTTGAGAAATAGACCAATTGCAGTTCAGTTTGGACTTGAGTTTTATTTAGATTTCTATTTTAACACTTTGTAACAACAAATTTTATGAAAAACATAAAACTTTTGTACAACTTGAATATAATTGGATCAAACGATATGCAGGTACAATCTCTATTTATCTCCTCTGATTCTTCTCTTCATTAATTTGGGCTTGAGACCTTGAAATATAGATTTGATGATTGAACCTCCTTCGGGCTTGGTCTTGAATTTTTCTAACATTAACTTGGGGGTCGAATGACTTATTCCCGTATTAAATATTAGGCCTTGACTTGATTGAAGACAACTTCTTGGAGAACTTGTTTCTTTGATCTTCTGGAAAGAGAGATTTTGACTTGAATAACGTTGACTCGAGGGCTTGATAGTTTTTTTCTCGAATCAAACGGTATGCTGGTTGAACTTCTCAACGAACGGGGCTTGAATGTCGCTTGAACGTCGTTGATATTCTTGGATTGGCTTGAGAAGCGTGAAAGTCGTCTCTTTACTTCTTGTGGAAGAGTCGCCGCCTCTTTTTCTTCTTCTTGACCTTCTTCTTCATTGAACGGACCTCGGACGGTTCTTCAAGAACTTCTTCAAATCTTCAAGAGGATTCTTGAGAGCGCTTGAATTTGAAACTTTGATTTTTGAGATGTGTTTTGAGGTATTTGAGGTGTTTGAGGTGTTGAGGAGAGCCCTATTTATAGGTGTAGGAGAGAGAGTCTTGGAAAAAAAGACTTCAATTTGATTGGTCCTTCATGATTTGACATAATCTCTTTCCTTATCCTAAGATTTGATATAATCTCTTTCCTTATCCTAAGATTTGACTTGGTGGGCAAGAAACAATTACTTTATTAATTAAATATCTTATTTATCTTGGATTTATGTCCCAAAATAAATAAAGACATTAATTAATAAAATATTAAAATTTAGATGTCTACAAATGCCCCCTTGAGACTTGTTCACGGACAAAATGTCTTGGTAGTGAATGAGTCTCAAAATTTTGGATTTAGTTTGGACATGCAGATAGTTTAAACTCTTATCTAGGAGCTCTCCGACTTGAGTTCGTAGATAGTTTAAACTCGTATCAAGGAGTCTTGATTTGATTTGAAAGATAGTTTATACTCGTATCAAGGAGTCTTGATTTGATTTGATAGATAGTTTATACTCGTATCAAGGAGTCTTGATTTGACATGATTTGTAGTTAGTTTAAACTCGTAACAAGGAGTTTTGATTTGATTTGACAGATAGTTTATACTCATATCAAGGAGTTCTTCATTTGACATGATTTGTAGTTAGTTTAAACTCGTAACAAGGAGTCTTGATTTGATTTGACAGATAGTTTATACTCGTATCAAGGAGTCTTCAATTTTGTAGACATTTTATGCTCGTATCAAGGAGCCATATAGATAGTTTAAGCTCATATCAAGGAGCATATGTAGATGGTTTAAGCTCATATCAAGGAGCATTTGAGTATGTAGATAGTTTAGGCTCATATCAAGGAGCATATGTATTTGAGGATTTGATGGAGCTTTCAATGAGAATTGCCCCCATGCTTCATGACTTGAAGACATCATTATTCATTGCCCCCGTGTATATTTTCTTCAAATAGGTCTTCATGCATCTTCAAAGATCTTCGAACTTGATTTGAAGAGAAGAGATGAGAGGTAGAGAATGGTCCCACCGGGCGTGCCAAATTTGTAACAACAAATTTTATGTAAAACATAAAACTTTTGTACAACTTGATTATATTTCGATCAAACGATATGCGGGTACAATCTCTATTTA